GAAATATTCAGCACACTCCTCAGCAGAAATACTGAGTAAGCAGGAGTTTGCTGCACGATGGCAGAGAATATGCAGCCAAAAGTATCACTTCCAGTGTTATTTGTAATGGCTCGCCCCACTAAACAGGCTGAGAAAGGAAAGTTAGAGGCAGAAAAGGCTGCGACGAAAAAGGCTTTGGATAAAGTGAGAGGGCAAACCAGACATCAACAGCAGTCCAGCTTTTGAATGGTGTAGACAACTGCAGGAGCTGGCCCTTCAGCTGTCTTTCTGTTGGACAGGTAATTATTTGTTTGCTTTGGGGGGATTTGTTATTTTACTCGGCTCTCCTCTGCTCTGCTGTTGACTCCTACTGCAGGATGCGCATTCAGGCATGTCTGGGCTCGTGGCTTTGGACGGAGCACTGACGGGAGGGGGAGCAGGGGGTGGCGCTTAGAGGAGGTGCCGCTTTCAAATCTTGCTAGCTCTCCAGCATTACCAACTATAGCTTTAAAGTGTTTTAATATCAATTTAATATGCCAGTTTTGGAGGGAAGATAACACTTGTATATATACACATATATATATATATATATATATATATACTATATACTATTATTATTATTACTGTCCCCTTGCTGTACAAACTGTAAATAAATCTTTATTCCTGACTGTGACGTCACCATTAATGTGTTTCTAGTTAAAATATTGATTTTTTTTATTATTATTATTTATTTATTTTTTGGTAGATTGGCTTTTGGGGTGATTTTGAAGGAGTAATTAAGTTAATCTTCTCATAAGTGGATGTAATATGTAGAGATGCCATCTCGGCCGTTTTTCTTTGTTTTGTTTTTTTTAAAGTCTATATTTTGCTTTACAAAAACGTGAAAAAGCAGCTGTGACCAAGCTATCACGAGGTGAGTAGCATTGTAAGCATAATTAATAGTGATATACTTCAGTCTGTCTGTGTGTTTTTGTATGCAAGCAGGTCTGCTGCGGTCTGCTGACAGTCCAAAATGGCGGCAGTAGGACGAAACCATGGGCGAGTCTGTTGCTATGGGGCGTTCTATTGAGCTTCACCTCTTGGTATCCATGCTCTTTGTGTGAGCTGAGCTTGACATGGTGCTTGAACTAAGCTATGCTCATTATGTAAATTAGTAGGCCTCAGAGGTGCTAGTAAGCAGATCTTAGTTACCATTGGACAGAGCCAGGCTAGCTGTTCCCCCTTCTTTGTGCTAAGCTAAGTGGCTGCTGGTTGTAGCTTCATATTTAGCATACAGACATGTGAGTGGCGTTAATCTTCTTATCAGACTTGTGACTAGAGAGTAAGTAAGCCTATTTCCCAAAAGGGTTAACTATTCCTTTAATGTGAAGACATTAGAAAGTTGCTTGTCAAATATCAGCTCAACACAGAAGTATTTCAAACACATTCTCTGCTTATTTTACTCCTTATTCACTTTGGTATCAGTAACTGTTCACCTCTTCAGTGACGTTCTTTTGTATCAGGCTACACTCTGAACAGTAACAGGTGTACAGACAGCACACTTTGAACAACACTTTGAAAAGCAAAAAAACACTGCACACTAAGATTTTACAGACAGGGCCGCTGACATTAGTGCCCCAGGATTGGCTTTAGTTTGTTGTTCCTGACAAATCAGCTCCTCCTGGATCTCAGTCCAGACATTTCCTGTCCTCCAGGGACTCAGAGCAGCATCTCATCTGTAAGTGTATTACAATAGCGATGTGCACTGAATCCTCTGGGCTTTGGTCAACTGAAGATCTGCAGTCTTTGGCTGTGTCGTGTAGGCAGACACCCCCACTGTCTTCATTCCAGTCCGCATTTCATTATGACAGGAATCTTAAATCATATGAAGGCTGTAGGGGATCTGGACATGATCAGAGGAAATGATTTTTATTTCAGAGAGAAATATTCTGAGAATGCCCTCTTTATCATTTTTACTCCCATCAGGAACAGACATTATCTTCAGTACTTTTCAACTAGTTTTCTTCCCTTATTATGGCAACATTTTATTTGTTTATAAGTCTGTAAACTTAGCAGCAGTTTATTTCAGTCATTTGCTACTGGTTGACAATATTTGGCATAATATCCAATATCTTTAAACATGGTCACAGTAAGTATTCATTGTTATATCAGAAAACTGTGAATGAAAAGCCTCTGATGCAGAATTTTACATGAAGTGGGCAACATATTGTTTAACTTGCTCCTGAAACCTGACATCTCTTAGTCTAGTCATCTAGTGGGTGGGATTGGACCCGTATGTCTGACACCCCTGGTTTAGGAAATAAAGGGAAAATAAAGACAGATACATATATGAAATTTCTCTACAGCTAAACAAATTCAACATAAATAAAGACCAGTGTTTTCAAAGATAAATAAACAATGTATTAATCTATTGAGGCTTAAATTGAGCGTTTTTTTTTAAAAGGAAATTCCCCCTTTTTCGCCATAACGACCACAATACTACACAGTTCTTTCCAGAAAAACCAAGCATTGTGAAATCATAACGAAATAAGGGGCCCATAAAGCAACGAATTAACCATATTATTTCTCAGTTTAAGACACAACAATATGCTTCTGTCATCTTTCAGGAACAAGAAATGTTTACTTTGAAGTTCAGTTTGTAATGCGTGTAATATGACAGTAAAAAGCTTTCAATGTTTCCTAACATCATCAATGAGTATTGCACATGCTGGACTTACTGAAACTTAAGCAGGAAAGACAGAGATGTGTAATTTGTGTTGCTGTTGTATTATTTCTCTTTCTTTCTTTTTATGTTGTTTTTATACTTAACTTCGTTTTATAAAAGGAGAGATGAAACATCTGTAACTGTTCATAGCTCTGCTGGGCTCCATATGAATATAAATTTAAAAAAAAAAGAATACTTATTTTTGCTCTCCCCACAAATTATTTTTGAATGTTTGAAACATTAAGTATTGTTCCACCATGCTGAGCCACACAATGTAAAGTGTGTTTTATCAGTCAGGCCAGCGGCAGTAAGAATGTGTACAGGTCCTGGTCCATTTCACACATATGTTACACACATATGTTTACAGTACTCTGTCCATGAGGCCCGGGCCCCCCGCTTGGGGAGCGGCAGCCGAGAGAAAAGGAGAGTGAAGGCAGTGATAGCGAGTGTATAAGAGGAGTCTGATCTGAAGCCAGTATTGGCACCACTCCCCCACCCCAGCCGGACCTCAAGCGTGTGGGCCCTTGGCATACGGATAGACAGGCGTTTCTGGGACTTCGAGGAGGAAAAGCGGCCAGCTGGAGCGGTAACAGAGTGGTATTGTGAGCTGACTGACTGACGCTTCAGTGGAGCAGAGACGCAGGCTGCCGGGGTGGCCTCTTTCTGGGCCCCACAGGGCCCCTCTGTGCTGATGCACTGCTGGAAGTGGGTCAGACACAGACACAAGAGCACAGTGGAGAGCGATTGGAGAGTGTACGCTCAGCAGAGATCCAAGACAAAGAGGCATCTAAACAGAGAAGCTTATGCACAGTGAGCTGGAAGAGACGGGGGCAGGCTTTGTTGACATAGTGTTATAAAACTTGGAGATGATTATCAGTGTTGTGGTGAGATTATGTCATGTGATAGTGGCTGATTCAATGATGCATCTTTCTGATGCAAACCATTACTAGAATTAGGAAATGTCTCCATGACGCACATTAATGTCCAGTTTACCTTTTCACTTAAATAATCTAACAGTAAAACTATCTATTTCCCTCCTGCCATACACGAAGTAATGATTCTCATCATGAGGAGCTGGACTGTTTATGTCAACATGAAAAGGCCTCTTTGAAAAACCTTCAAAGCAAGAGGCTGTAGCTCTTCTTGCCAGAGGGAGGCAGTGTTCTCATTCAACGCACATTAACATTCTTCACAGCATCCATTTTGCCTCCAATTCTCTGCAGCTCTTAAGCTGCAAAATGATCGCCAGCCACAGAAGCAGAGAGCAGCTAGTTATCTTGTTATTGATGTGGGCACTTTGAAGAGTCAAGGGCTGCCACATTCTGGCAGATGAGAGGCCGGAGCACAACAACACAATAAAAGAGAGATCTGAGAGATCAGAGGAATGTGAAGAATGGGAGAGTAAAATCTCCTTCAGACAACAAAAGAGGTGTCACACTTAAACCTGAAACGTGCTTGGAAATACCATAAAGTTATGTTTATGAGTTTGTTCAGAGTTATTGTAACCGCATGCAGCGGGGGAGTGATTGTACGAGAGGTGTGAGACACTCAAACCTGGTCGTAATATCTCAACCCCACCTACACAAACAGAAAATGAACAGCCTCTGTGTTACATTGTGGCTTGAAGTCACATCCAAACATTTCTTAAAGCACACAAGAAACATCGAAACACATTTTATACCTTGAATAGTTTCCGGAGAGTCACATTCCATTACGCTGCAATGTGTGTGTATGGAGGACTGTGCGGTTATGCTTTACATCTGTCCTGGCACCCTGTCAGAGCATCATCTGGTTACCCGATCTGTTTGTTCTCTGAAACTGAACATGCTTTGTTTTTTATCCTCCCACACACAGCCTCAGCAGGGAATCCAGTGCGTTAAAATAAGCAGAGTTTAAATAATAAAAACTTCTTTTAACCGGGATCCAGTGACAGTGGAGAAATGAGACATGAGATGTGGATTTGAGACAAAATAGACCACACCGTCACGCACTCAGTCTTGGTAAATACTTTATATGCAATTGTTTCTTGATCTTTGCAAACACTGTATAGAAAACACTTAAGGTAACACTTTTCAAACATTTAAAGCGCGTCTGAGCGTTCAGACAGACATGACACAGTAATCTACAGCTTTATAAACATTCCCCCCCCCCCCCCCCCCCCCCCCCCGCCCCTGGCCTGTCCACACACACCCCTCAACACGCTTCCCACCACATACAATCCCTTCCAAACACACACGCACACAAACACAGCCACCGCAATCAGGCTCTCAACTTATTATTCACAGTAGGCTTTATAACACTGTTTCTGTATCGTATGATGGTTCTTAACATTTTTTTTATTATTTAAAATAGCTATCAACATTTATGCTGTAATATTTGGAAAGTGATACATTTGTATTTACATAAGCTTATTGAGCAAGATTCAAATACAATGTGTGTGTACATATGTATAATTGTATGTAAGTTTCTATATTTGTGTGTGTGTGTGTTGACCAGAGCCACCTGATCTGTTTGAGTCACTGACCAAAGACTTTTTCCACTGATAGCGTCCAGTCTGTTTAATACAGTCAAGTTAGAAAAGAAGAAGAAGAAGTTGCGTGGCGCTCTCATGAGTTTTTGCCCCACGACGGTGCCTCGATACAGGGCAGCAGAGCAGAGTGAAACTGGTCACTGACTGTCCTTTACAGCTTGTCTGTGATAGCATGAATAGATTATGGGAGACTGAAGTGACCGGAGATGGTGTGCGACCGGAGACTCATCATACATTCAGCAGAGGCCAAGAGGTGTCAGTCGTTATCTTGGACGGCTGTGTTTCAGGGTCCTACAACCTCAGCGACTAGCACATTCAGACTCTCGTGTTTTCATTTCATACCAGATAAAAGTAAGAAAACGTGGCAAATGGTCACAGTACCATGTCTTGATTTTAAAACGCCTCCTTAAGCATCAAAAATGGATGCTTCCGGGGCGATGAGAAGTCTTCACTTCCAGCTAATCAGTTAAAACCCCTCCCCTTCCCCCTAATCCTCCTCCTCCTCCTCCCTCACCTTTTCTCTTTCACACACAGATGCAAGCACTCACGTGTACATTCATATACACAAAGTACAGAAGTAAGCAATTACACCAACACACAGAAACAAAAAAAGGTCGGCACGCACACATGGCCACACATACACACAGGGACCTGGGTAAGAGACCAAACTAATGTGAGAGGAAAGTGAGGCACATAATCTGACAGGCAAAATCCAGCCTGAATTTTGGTATACTCAAAACAGAAGTGAATGATTAAGGTGTCACAGACAGGCCCAGGCTTTCAGCCCATTGAGAACTTCTAAAATGTAACATCTATGTAGCACCTATATTCTCCCAGGTGCCGTACGCGTACTCTGTATCTTTAAGTACCCATTAAATGGAGACAGCAGCAGAAGCACTGGCTCCATCGTCCACGTGAATAACAGCCATGCCGGCAAATAATTTCGGGGTTGGACTAAGGTACCATAGTGATGATATGAATAGTGCTTAAAGGCTTAGCTTTTCTTTCACATCCTGATTTGCTATTACCAAGGTCAAAGGCATTATAACAGAGATCCACATAATTAAACATTTAAAGAATTTATGTGCTCCAACAGTCTCATAAACTCTGGGTAGGGACCCGCAATAGGTCACAGGCCTATTTCTGCTGGGTCCCTACATGGCAAGAGAAGCAATAGGTTGTCATTAGCTGGGGTCTGAAGAACAGGGACTAAACTTTGTTGTTTCCTGGGTGGGAAAAAAAGCTTAAGAACCACAAACAGAGTCTCTGCTGAGTGCAGGAGTGACAGTGGTTGAAAATGGAGATGGAAATGTCGAGTCAATCTCTTGAGGGCGCTTACAGAGGTGCTTGAGAGGCCCCTGTGGGTCTTTGAGGGCCATTTATTCAAAGTGGCAGCACTTTGCTATCCCTGTATGTCAATGTCGGTCTTTTATAACTCCTTTTTCATCTACCTTTCCTTTACAGTATTTAAAAGCTACTTCATTATCCTGGGCATGTTGGTTCACAGGGTCAGTTAATTTTGTTCCAAATTGATAACAGAAAGAGAGAGTAAGGGCAGAATGAGAGAGAGCAGGTATCTGTCCATCCTTCCAGTCACCCCTTGCTTTGTCAGGATGGGGATCAGGAGTTTAAGTGTGTTTCAGTTCAACCGTCATCTGGGGTCGAGTCTTCAGGGGTGGACGAGTCCTCAGCAAAGTCGTCTGATGAGCCACTCTTGTGGATGCGGCCGTCGCTGCGCATGCTGTGGAAAGTCTTGCGGAAAGCCTCCATCATCGAGTGCGCCAGCTTCTTGGCCTCCAGCTTGCTCTCGCACTCGACGGCGTGACAGTCCATCTGGAAGGACAGGTCGTCGTTGATCTCCCGGTAGATCCAGGCAAATACGTTGGGTCTGATGCTGTGGTCGGCTGTGCAGTAGGCGATCCGTGCCACCTGGTAGGTGTCCATGGTTACTGAGGCTTCGCTGTGCTCGTCCAGGTGGTGAAGACGCACCTGAAATGGCCGGATCTCTAGCAGAGAGTTGCCTTCGGGGCAGTTGCCCTGCTGCTGGGCGAGGGCACGACGCTCCACCAGACCCACCACCGCCGACTCTGTGCAGCCAGACAGGAACTGGGTCCCGGAGATAGTCACCTTACCCAGGTAGGCAACCTGTAGGAAGACACACACAGATGCTATTAGATTTAGGTCTTTTTCACATCACTTTATAACAAACATAAATATGCACTTGGCCACAAATACACCACTATGCTTTCAACTCTTTCTGTTTCACTGGATATACAGAATCAAGTGCAAAGGGAAAAATTATGGGGATGCACTTCAAAGCACTTATTGAAAGTGCTACCTGTCACACTAAAAAAGTCATATTAGGATTAATTATAAAGCACTTTTCCTAACAAAGTTAAAAGGAAAATAAAATACTGTTAAAAGGTAGATAAGACACATAAGCGGGGAGATAAACCAGAATAAACATAATAAATATTCACCAAGGCTTATAAAAGAATGTTTGTCGAGGGGACGCAAAGGCATATGAGAAGTCAGCAAATCTGTGATACTTTAGTGCAAAGCCTATATATGTGTATATATCTTTCTGAAAATTATAATTCAAGCATCAGCGCTCTATACCAACTGAAGCTGAAGGAGGGAGTTGTGACTTTTTCAACCATAAAGTCCATTAAATTAGTCCACGTAGGAAAAAATAAAAGCATGTACAATGATATGTGAATCTGCAGGACTTAGAAATAATCTCATTTGAGAGGTTTTCTTGAAAAAACAAATGAAAAACAAACGTCCAGACAACGCTCTTCACTTGATCCTTAGAACAACTTTGTGTAACTTCAGATTTATCATCATTATATTCTAAAAATGTTTGACATTTGATGTTAAGGTCATTAAGCAAGGCAAGAAAATTATTAGACTGCTAGATTTGTTGGATAACAGTGGAACGAGTAACTGTGTCATCTGCATAGAAGAGGACATAGTTTTAGTTTTCTATCACCCAACTGGATGAAAAAAAAAACTGAATTAAAAACAACACTGGGCCCAGACTGGAACCCTGAGGAGCACCACATTTAAAACCAACATGGGTCAAAAACATTCAGGTGAAACAACAGTGGTGACGTGGCCTTCTAACCTCCCCCTCCCCCTAGCCTAACCCTGTGTCAATAGAAAGGAGCATCTACCCATCAACCTCTGACATTTCTGCAAAGAACCGACGTCTGCAAGATACTACAGATGCTGAGTCACGGCCATGATTCACCACAGCTGTTATCAGGGTCAGGGATGCTTCCAATCACTACTAAGCTGGTCTTTATGTTAAAGAGTGGACCCGTTTCCGTTAAAATAACCTAAAGCAGTAATTAAATTCATGTTCATGTACATCTTTAGGTTAATTAACCTAAAAAAACCTGGGGTGCATATATGTCTCTCTGTAGTGGTGATGAGAGGCTTTTCTAATTTTCTGTGGCAACTGTGCTGACAAGCTGAAGGATGTGTGTGTGTGTGCTATTTCCCAAAGACAGAGAAAAAACCCCATGTTAAGCTGTGGCTGCAACAAGGACCATAGAATACCATAGTAATGACACTGCATACCAGGAGAGCGATAGACTGAGGAGATGGAGAGGGATAGGAGGAGAGAGAGTTAAGGAGTGAACAAAGCTGGAGTTTTCTATGGGAGGGAATGTGGCCAATTCCAGAGCGGTCCAGGAATAATGGCTGACTTGTGCGCTTTCTCTACATGGTGTTCTTTATAGCTTTATAAAAATACACAGAGGAGGAGCCTTCTACGAGTCAAACACTCAGAGAGTTTTCACTCCTGTCTGTGTTTATACTGGGGCAAGGGAATACTCCTCTCTCTCAAGAGTTCATTACAGCTGGCTTAGCACACATGGCTGCAGATAACATGAGTGCAACGATAAGTGTGAATGTGTATCACATAACAGTCTGGTACATTTATAGGAGATGTGGCCTGCATTCACGGCTCAACGCACATCTGTCAATGTCAAGGCAGTCTGTGCTTTTGATAACACCATTCCCTTAAGAAATGTTAGTAAACTATTACCTATAATTCTTCAGTTCTTATGTTTTATTATCTGACAAGGAGTTCACCCAGCAGATCAACAGATACCACTGCTAAACAGAAATAGAGCTCTGGATAATGACACAAAGCAAAGGCCTGGGACCTTTTTTATTCAACACGTGATCTGACTGCTTCTCTTCCTTCACAAGTTTTGTTTAGTCTGCAATCGTCAGGTCTACCTGCCCTCATTCTCTGCTATGATTTTCACTGAATGGGATCTTTCAGAGTAAGCACATAGAACAGTCAGCCAGTCACTCAGACCAACATCTGCGTTAGACAGGCAGTCTTATGTAAGGTAGGTGTAGCGTGTACCATGAAGCTACAGACATGTAAAAACTGATGCAGACACTAATATCTTTGGTAACGATGCGCTCACATTGAAGTAAAATATAGTGCCCTGCCAAAGTATATTGTAAAATCACGCACTCTTTGTAAAGCTTTGGAACCCACAACAGTTCTTCTCAAAAACAAAAAAAGGCTTAATCAAAAACATACATGAGAAAAAAAATAGAAAACTATTTTAATAAAAGGAGGAAATGAAAGTGGTGGAGAAATAGAACTTCAACAGGCGTAGAGACAAAGGAGGCTAAGGCCCTGATCACACAGAAACCATTTTAGCAGCTGGAGGAAGCTTTTTAAAGTTGTTTTAATAAGAATGAGGCTTTATGCCCATGTTTTTTGCGTAGCGATGCACCTTGCATTTCTGCGCTCTAGGCGCCTGGTGTTTTTGCCGGAGTGCTCTGAACTCGAGTTGAAAAAACGCCAACTCAGAGAGGAAAAGCACTCCATGTCATTTTTTTTTTCCTTCGTCATCTAATTTCCATTGACCATTTAGATGATTTGAGAGGCGGGCCTTCTGTGGTGGTCATGACAGTTTACAGTTGGTAAACAATGGAGGTGAAACTGGTGGTAGTGACTGTTGGAAACCCAGAGCCATAAGGCCCTGCGATATTCAGCAGGTTGTCAAACTGCCCCCGCGTCATCCTAAAATATGCCTGGAAACAGCCATCATGGAGGCGAAGCTTCTGGACCAACTGGTGGTACTCCCCATGATCCACTCTTTTTTTAGGGTCTCATGTACCTACACAGATCTCCGTTTCCCTGCTCCCAACAAACTATTTGCTGACAGCCTCATCCTCAACCAGAGCTACAGCAAGTACCCTCTGCCTGAACATTTTAGGAACTAGATACTAATAATTAGTATCTAGGTCCTAAAATGTTCAGTTTCAGTAAAATGTTTGTTTTGTTTTCTTCACAGTAATTAGTAATTACTGTGAAGAAAACAAAACAAAAGATTGATTACACAGGATTTTGTAACCTGCAAAATGCTTTCTGTGTGATTGGGGCCTTTCATAGTTGTAAGAACCCCCCTTTTTGTTGTGTCCACAACGCAGGAACTAGGACCAATTGCAGTTCTTAGAACGCCCTTCTGACGGACTTTTTCAGCTCTCTATTTCACCACCATTTTTAAAAACCTGTTAGCCTTGTAAACAACACACAACACAAAGCGCAAACAACAGCTTGTGACAAAAAAAACAAGACAACATGGACAAATGGTTCGACAGTGAAATCCAGGCTTTACTGAGCATGTATGTGACGGTGAAAATACAATGTGATTTGACTCAAAGTGAAATTGACATTGCTATATTAAAAGCTGGCCAGCTTACAGTACATCACTTCAGTGTTGCTATTGGTGGTGCTAATGCAAAAAACAATTGGACAGTTCCTCTCAGAGAGTCTCCAGAACTGTTTGGTCCAAAAACCAAAACCTGATGAGCAATAGAAAGCTACAGAAACAAACAAGAATGTATCCCCAGAAAATATATCATAATTAAACATTTCATCAACGCCAATTCACTTTCTCTCCAAAAGTGGGAAAACAAGATTAGCATCACTGCCATGTCTGTATGGTAAATATGGAGCTGGAGCGAAGGGGTGGTTAGCCTAGTTTAGCATAAAGACTGGAAGCAGGAAGAAACATCTAGCCTGGCAGTCCAAAGATTGGAAAACACATCTAAAACTCATAAGTGCTATATCATTGGCAACTGGACTTGCTTGCGTTTCTTGAAGTATTTCGCCTTTCATATAAACTTTAAACTCTGTGTGGGTGTGAACCCTTACAGAGTCGTTGAGGTCACATGTGAGCTCTGAGTTTCAGAGTCATCAAGGTCACATGTGAGTCGTTGTACAAGATGGCTGGGTGGGTCTTGGATGAGAGGCGAAACGTCTTCAAGAAACGCAAGAAAGTCTAGGTGCCTATGATATAGCACTTACGATTACCATGACCTTGATGACTGAGAATCTTCACCAACATGTCTAAAACTCACTGATGAATTATTTACAGAAATTTAAAAACAACATTTTGTGGTTTTAGGGAAGGTTACATGCTTCAACTATGTCAAGGTCAATTTAAAAATAAGGCAAGTTGAATAAATAGCCTGTAAGCTAAATGTTAGCAACATAAGCAACAGTATGATGTCAACATCAGAGATATGTGTTCACTCTGGGCAATCACTGATATTTTCTAAATGACAGAAAGCAGAGGTCTCAACAGCTACAAGAAAGACTTGCGGTGAATCTACTTAAGAGTAGTATGTGTAGAATCTGCTCCATAAAAACACTCGTTTGTTACCACTATGGTGGATTAGCCCCTGAAAAACCCTGATTGCAGCGGTACATGACACTGATTCCCAGTTTCCGATAGCCAACAGTGTGAGATCCAGGAAGTGAAAGCAGCTGCCTCCTCGTGCCTGGTTTTCATTAGTGGTGACCACAGGGGTGGGACATACAGCCTTTGCACCCGATCCATCATTCAGCCCAGTACCACAGGTCTGCAGGAGCAGCCTGGAGGCAGGGTGGTTTGCTAGTCGACCACACTGACACCCTCTTGCAGCCAAAAGGCGGTCAGTCACTCAGCCAGCCAACAAATCCAAAGACTACGCCAAGATACATCAACCATCCACAGTGTGCTGTTTGTATGTCAAACAGCAATAAAGAGTCATTGTGCACTTCTCTTCTCTGTCTCTCCTATTTTGATATTGAGTTACTTGTTTAAACTGCGATCGTTTCTACT